ACTTTAAAGTGGGTCAAAAGTGAGATCCAGTGATTAGGTATTACATTTTAACCTAACTACATCTGCCATTTTCTTGATAGCAGTGCTCCTTGATAGCAAGGCTATTCACATCCCTGTGGTCCAGGGAATTCGCTCTAGGGTTAATCTATGTGGGGTGTGTTGGGCCCTGAGGGTAGACTTTATCTTTCCTGAGCCCTGGCTACATCTTTTATTTACTTGTCTGGGGAGGAGCCTAGGTGATTTAGTGGTTCCTTACTGGGTTGCTCACCTAAAGGTCAGCAGTTCAACACTTGGAGCTGCCTTGCAGGAGAAAGGCAGTAAAGAGTGTCGGAAACCCACCGGGGGCTGTGTGCCAGCATGGACCGAGGACAGTTAGCTTGTTGAGGGTTTCTGCGGTGGTCTTGGGCAGCTCCTTTAGACGACTTGTGGTTCTCAGAGGCTGCAGGTCGTTGGTTTGACTGCCTGGGCTAGCCTGTGTGCAGCGCCTGCAGCAGCAGCGGCGGCAGCGCTGCTTCGTAAGAAGTGCTGTGTCCTGACCCTCTGCCTTGGAGTGGCCTGGGGTGGGGAGGCTGTTCAGAATGGTAGATCTGTATGGGAGCAGACAGCCTCGTTTTTCACTGGTGGTTTTAAACTGTTGACCTCTTGGTTAGGAGCCACAGGACGTGCTATGTATGTGCTGGGCTTGGGGATTTGCCAGAACTCTGTGTTCAGGGAAAGAGCTCTTCGTTGGTGATGGGCTGCAGATATTGCTCCTTGGGTGGCTTTTGACTTGTTATGGCTCTGTCCCGCCCCCTGCCTTTTCTGTTTGCCATGAGGATAGGTAACCGTTCAGACCAGATTACCTGGGAGCTGGGCTCCAATACCACTCTGTGCCCATCTACCCAAGGGGCCGAGTCGACCCCGCCTGGCTGGCTCTCCTCATCTGTATGTGCCAGTGAGGTGGGGCGGGCTGTGCTGTGTCTGGACTTGCCCAAGCCCCAGGAAAGTGGCTGCCCCTGTACTCAGGCTCTGGGCTTTGTTGCCCAGCCAGGCCCTGCGCTGTGTGGCTAGGAGGGCCTTGCTCCTCCTGAGGCCAGCACAGCACACAGTCTGGCTGGTTCACTGCGCAGTGACTCACCATGCTCTGCAGACAGACCCGGGCTTGTGGGGAGCCCTGATCCCTGGGAGGTGCAGCGGGGGCTGAGCCTGGCTGCTCTTGGCTGAGGCCCTGATGGATACAGTGGTCTCCTCAGACATGGCACTGCCTCCTGGCAACAGGTGCTCACAGGTGTGTCTGCCCTAAATCTCCAGGCTTCCTTGTAGTCGCCTCCCCCAGGCCCCCGCCAACCCTGCTTCTTGATCCCAGATGGAAGCCACTCTGCCCCCACACCCTATTGCCAAGCTGTTCTTGGGTGCCTGGCTGACCCATCGCACTGTGACTCTAGGCCCTGGTGAAGAGTCATGAAGGGGCTTCAGAGAATTTGGGGAAATGCCATTATCTCATTTCCCGTGCCCCACAGGCTAGTACTAAACACTGGCTGCAAGTCACCTGGTGGACCAGGAGGCCTGTGTATGCCTATGGTTCCTGGGCTCCTAGCCTTCTTCCCCCAGAGGGCGGGCCCTTCCGGTGGGGTGGGGTTGAGGTGGAAGTCGCTCTGGCTTGCAGGCCCCTGGGAGCGGGTGCAAGGCCAACGGGAGCTCCTGGGGGAAGCGCTGGGCTGGGCAGCCTTCCTTCCTGCCAGCCCCACTGCCCCTGACTGACCTTGTGACCCTGTGTCCCTGGCCCTGAACCATCTCCAAGGAACCAAGACTGAGGTCCTTTCTGGTCAAGTACAGATTGTAATGATTGCCAAGCACAAAGGAGCTGCCAGAGACAGGCTGTGCAGGCCGCGTGGCTGGCTCTACCCTTTCCCGGTGCCCAGGGCACCGGCTCCAGAGTTGCTCATTGGGCCACTGCCCGCCCAGTCCGTCCAGTCCAGGATCGCCAAGCATGGGGGCTGGTGGGGTGAGGAGCCAGGCTCCTGAGGTCAGGCGTGGCGGCCTCCTACGTGCTCCAAGGCCTGTCTGGCTGCTGACACAGCTATCCACTTGGGAGCCAGGCCTCGCAGACATGGCCTGTCCCTCTGGCACCTGTGTCTGTCCAGTGAGTCAGGGCCTCCTCCAAATGGGGTGGCAACTTGGTGGCGGGCCTAGGAGGGAGTCGGGCAGGTGTGGCCTGTTGCTGAACTGCCGCTGGCTTCCTGGGACCCGGGAAGCTACTTCATCTTCACAGCAACCGCCCCTGCAGGCCTCCCATGTCTCCGCTACAGGGGGAGGCAGCACAGGTGGCTCCTGCTCAGGCCCTGGCACCAGGCACACTTCTTGTTCACAGGGACACTGCCCTTTAGAAGGCCTCTGCTAAGGCCCCAGCTCCCAGGCAGGACCCCAGTGCTTCTCTTTAATCTCTGGAGACCCACTGCCCTCCCTCATCTCCTATGGGTGCTGCCTGACCTGGGGAGTAAATGGGGTCCTGGGTGGCGCTCTGGCTGGGTGACTGGGCCTCAGAGCCCGCCTGTGGCTCACGTGGGGCCTCTGCCCCTGGTGGGGTGTAACTATCTCCCCACTGGCTTGGGGGTCCGTTTTTCTGTCTTCTCTGCTTATGAGTATGGCTGGCTTTCACTCCTGGGCTGTGCTGGCTGGAGTGGCCACCCCCGCGCCCCCCAGACCCTGCCAGGTACTGTCTCTGGGAGAGCAGCCCAAGCCTGCTGCTTGGGATCTCTTGTAGCCGCTCCGCCCTGCTGCCACCGCCTGGCTTGGGGCAGGGCCAGCAGGCCCCTGTACTTCGGTTATGCCCTTCCCTGGAGTGTGGGCATGGGCACCTGGCTGGCCCTGCCTACCCAGCCCTGCTCAGGCCTGTGCCCAGCCCATGCTCAGGCCTGTGCCCAGCCCATGCTCAGGCCTGTGCCCAGCCCAGGCGCCAGGGTTCTAGGGTAGCTCTCTGGGAGAAGAAAGGACAGCTAGACTAGGGGGCTGTGGGGCGCTTCCCCTGAGGCCTGGGCCTGGTTGGTGGTGCCCCCTGCCCCTTACCCCATCTTGTTGTGTGTCTTCCAGGAAATGGCCAGTTCTGTCTACCTGGTCATGGAGGTGAGTTGCTCCTCTGAGGAGGTGGGGAGAGTGGGGCAGGCATCAGGCAGAGGGCCCAGCCCTGGGGTAACCCCTGCCCACGGTTGTCTGCTCTCTCCTAGTACTGTAATGGCGGGGACCTGGCTGACTACCTGCACAGTGAGTGGACCTGTCTGAGGATGGTGGGGCCCGACGGGACTCCAGGCTATGGGTGCTCCATCCCCACACTCATGCTAGGGGAGAGACTGGGCTGTGGCCAGTCTTCCTACAGGGCCCATGCTGTGTGGTGTTGGGACTTTCAATGGCTGGTGGACTTGGGTGTTTGTGTGTGTATCTGCATGGTGTGTGCATGCGTACCCACATGCTTCCCGGCCTCCCAGGTGGGGTTGCATTTGCCCCACTGAGCAGCTGTGTGCATCCCCCCTCAGCCATGCGCACCCTTAGCGAGGACACCATCCGGCTGTTCCTGCGGCAGATCGCGGGTGCCCTGCAGCTCCTGCACAGCAAGGGCGTCATCCACCGCGACCTCAAGCCGCAGAACATCCTGCTGTCCAACCCCGGCGGCCGCCGCGCCAACCCTAATAACATCCGCATCAAGATTGGTGCGGCCCGCACCTGGGTGGGTGGGTGGGGGCACGGGGACACACCGTGGGTCAGTCCTGACGCGTCTTTCCGCACAGCTGACTTCGGGTTCGCGCGTTACCTGCAGAGTAATATGATGGCGGCCACGCTGTGCGGCTCCCCTATGTACATGGTGCGTCCGGGCCCCGGGGGGAGGGAGCTCTGCCCTGCGGTGGCTGAAGGCTAGACCCCACCTCACAGGCCCCAGAGGTCATCATGTCCCAGCACTACGATGGCAAGGCGGACCTGTGGAGCATCGGCACCATCGTGTACCAGTGCCTGACGGGGAAGGCACCCTTCCAGGTACACCAGGGCTCTTGCGGGCGCCCACGTGGGTGTGCTGGAGGCGGGGCCGAGGCAGGGTTAGGACTACCTTGGCCTCAGCACCCAGACTCCGACCCTTGCAGGCCAGCAGCCCGCAGGACCTGCGCCTCTTCTATGAGAAGAACAAGACGCTGATCCCCGCGTAAGTGTCTCTCCGTGGGTGGCCTGGGTAGGCGGGGTCTCCTCTGCGGAGCCCCACGTGTTCATGTTGCCCATCCCACCAGCATCCCCCGGGAGACTTCACCTCACCTGAGACACCTGCTCCTGGCGCTGCTGCAGCGTAACCACCGGGACCGCATGGACTTCGGTGCGGCCCCACCCCTCCCTAGAGGGCAGTGGAAGTGGGGGGGGGTGTCGGGCCCCCTCATCCTTGGACAGCTGTGGGTGCATGGGGTGGGGACCACTGAAACTGAGCGGGAGGCCCCTCCCCTTTGCGTGGTCAGCAGAGCCTGCATCCCTGAGGGGCGGAGCTGGGGGTATGGGAGATGGGGTCCGACACCCTGGGGGCCTCCCTGAGCCCTCTTCTTCCACAGACGAGTTTTTCCATCACCCGTTCCTCGACGCCAACTCCTCCATTAAGAAGTGTGAGTTTTCGCTCGTTGCCTGAATCATGGTCAACAGAGGTGGGCTGCCCCTGTGTCTGCCTGTGCCAGGGGAGGCTGGACCTGTAACCCCCTGTGGCTCCTGTCCAGCCTGGGTCATTTTGCTGAGAACTTCCTTCCGGGGGCCCAGAGATCCCAGTGGGCATGACTGCTGTGGGGGCACATGGGGGGTGGGAAGGAAGGAGGAGTGACTGGTGCCCCCCACAGCGCCCCCGGTGCCCGTGCCCTCGTACCCCAGCTCTGGCTCCAGCTCCTCCAGCAGCTCCACCTCACACCTGGCCTCGCCCCCTGTGAGTTGCCACCCAGAATGGGCTTTCCCTGGGCGTGGCTGGGCGTGGCCACCGGGAGGGTGACATCCTCCAGTGCAGACACACTGCACAGGGGAGCAGCAGAGAGGTGGCCCTGAGGGCTCATGGGCGGGGAGGTCCTAGCTCACTGGCCACCTTGTCCAGTCCCTGGGGGACATGCAGCAGCTGCAGAAGACGCTGACCTCACCAGCCACTGCCGCTGCCGCCTTCCTGCAAGGCTCCAGGGACTCAGGTGGCAGCAGCAAGGACTCCTCATGTGACACCGATGACTTCGTCATGGTTCCAGCCCAGTTCCCAGGTAGGGGCAGTGGGGCCACCCCTCAACATGTCCCTCCTAGTAGGGGTGAGAAGAGAGCAGGGGTGCTGGTGGGGGCTGGGACCACCTCACCCTGTTCCCTCCCACAGGTGACCTGGGAGCTGAGGCAGCTGGAGCCAAACCCCCCCCAGACAGCCTGCTGTGCAGTGGGTAAGGCCGGCCGCCCCTCCCCCACCTGCTGATGTTCCTGGGGGAAGGAGTACCCCGGGGAGGAGCAGCTCGATCAGGAAAGGGCGAGGCGTCCCCCCTCTCAGCTTCCTGGGGCCCACCACGCTGTTCTTGGGGGCAGGGGTGGCGTCAGGTCTGTGACACCTTTGGCTTGATTGTCCTGCCTGTGCCCTTTGTCACCCACCCCCGCCCCCAGGAGTTCCCTAGTGGCCTCTGTTGGCCTGGAGAGCCATGGCCGGACCCCGTCCCCACCTTACAGTGGCTCACCCAGCCCCTCAGGGTGAGCAGCCCACCTGGGCAGACCCAGTGGGTGGGAGCTGGCGGGCCAGCAGGTCCTTGAGCCTGGGTTCCCTCACTTCTCTGCCCTGGGCGGGGGTCCGGCGGGAGGGCACCCATGCCAGAGAGTCTCGTGACCCCTGATAATGTTCTCTTTCCCCAGCCGGGCCGGGCCCTCTGTCAGCAGGTACGGCGTGTCCGTCCCCATCCCGGTGCCTACACAGGTGCACAATTACCAGCGCATTGAACAGAATCTGCAGTCCCCGGGCCAGTACGGGCCCTCCCGGTGAGTTGTGGGCACCCACAGCTCACTGCAGCAGCCCATCTCTGGAGGTCTTGGCAGGCAGCAACGGCACAGTGCTGTGGGTGTGCCAATGGGTCAGTGTGGGTGCTCCTCTCACTGCCGCCTGCCCCCAGGTCCGCTGCCGTCCGCAGGTCAGGCAGCACCAGCCCCCGAGGCTTTGCCAGGGCCAGCCCCTCGCCCCCGTCCCATGCAGAACACGGCACCCTGGCCAGGAAGTTTCCCCTGGGCGGGGCTCGCCCTTACACGCCTTCGCCCCAAGGTGAGGCTGGGATTGGGGCTACCGTGCTCGGGCTAGAGGTGGAGGTGTCATTGTCTCCAGCTTTGACCTGCCCGACCCTTGCCCTTCTCCACAGTGGGAACCATCCCCGAGAGGCCAGGCCTGAGCGGAGGGCCTTCCCCACAAGGAGCTGAGATGAGGGGTGGCAAGTTCCCTCGGCCAGGTGCATGGGCTCGCCTCAGACCAGGGAGGCTAAACTGGGGGTCCTGCTATGCAGTGTGTCGTGGGGGTGGGCTTGACCTGAGCTGTCCTTCCCGCCAGGCTCCTCTGCACCCGAACACTCTCCCCGCACCACCGGCCTGGGCTGCCGCCTGCACAGCGCCCCCAACCTCTCTGACCTGCACGTCGTGCGCCCCAAGCTACCTAAGCCCCCCACGGACCCTCTGGGCACTGCCTTTGGCCCCCAGCAGGCCAGCCCCCCGCTGCCAGCCTGCCGTCCCCTGCGTGGTTCACCCAAGTTCTCTGACTTCCTGCAGCGCAGCCCCCTGCCCCCCATCCTGGGCTCCCCCACCAAGGTGAGTGCTGCAGCTCCTCAGGGACCACCTGCCCTGAGCTGAGGACTGCCCGCCTATGTCCTCCTGCTCCGAGGCCCTGAGCTCGGCCTGCCCAGTGCCTTGTCTGTGGGCCGAGTAACCTCTCAGCCTCAAGGCTACCACGTTGTGGCCAGCCACTGCTAAGGGTCCCATCTGTGAGCGCTACCCACAACCCTGTTTCCCGCCCCCACTCCCCCCACCTCTTCCAGCCTGTAACTGCTTCCCGGCCCTCAGACACTCATAAAGTAGCACTCTGGCCCCGCAGACAAGACAGTCTGGCCTTTCCTTGAGAGCCCCAAACGGACCACATGGTGAACTGTAGAAGGGACCCAGGAGCAGGTTGGGGCTACCTTTTGGTGAGAGCCAGAGTGGAGCTGCCTCAGGAAAGCACACTGCCTGGTCTCCTGCCCACCCATCCTCCCAGACTGCCTTGTCACACCCACAGGGAGGGACCGCAGTCCTGGAACTGGTGGAGTGCCAGGTTCCCCCTGACCACACCAGGCACTCACGCCACTCTCCCCTCCCCTCTCCCCCAGGGCGGCCCTTCCTTTGACTTCCCGAAGACTCCCAGCTCTCAGAACCTGCTGGCCCTCTTGGCCCGGCAGGGCATGATGGTGGCGCCCCCCCGGAACCGCACGCTCCCTGACCTCACGGAGGGGGGCCCCTTCCCAGCACAACCGTTGGGTCCTGGACTCCGGCCCCCCGAGGAGGCCAAGGGCCCATTTGGCAGGTGAGCTGGGTGCCTCTGGGTGGAGCTGGTGGGTGGCTGTGGGTGGTGAGGGCAGCCTGTCCCTGTCATGCAGGTCTCTGAGTACCGGCCGCCTCACTGACCTGCTCCTTAAGGCGGCCTTTGGCGCCCAGGCTCCAGACTCAGGCAGCACCGACAGCCTGCAGGAGAAGCCCATGGAGATTGGTGGGTGCCTGGGGCCAGGCTGGGTCCCTGGGCACAGCAGCAGGCTCCCAGTGACCCTCAGCCCACCTCTCGCCCTCCCAGCACCCTCTGCTGGCCTTGGAGGGAACCTGCACCCTGGGTCCCGAGCAGGGGGTGCCAGCAGCCCTTCCCCTGTGGTGTTCACCGTGGGGTCGCCCCCCAGCGGGACCACACCGCCTCAGGGCCAGGGCCCCCGAACCCGCATGTTCTCAGGTGAGGCCTCCTCCCTGGCTTGGGGGCTGGGTGGGAGGCTGAGTCTCTGTTCTCTGAGTATTGTGTTTATGTTGGGCTAGAGTAGGTCCCCTTCCCTCGCCCCTTCCTGGTCCTGCATCCGTATTCCCCTTCTCAACGTACCCTCTGTGAGGTCCAGCCCCATGTCTGGATGAGTCCTACGGGACAACTGTGTACTTGAAGGGAAGAAATTAAGAGTCAGGCAAAAGTTTTGGGGTGCTTACCTCCATGGTGTCAGAAACCAGGCCCAGGAAAGAGAATGGCATTCAAGCGCCCCTAATTACTGGTAACCACATACATAACAAAATATGGGCTGTACCCTAACCCTAGAGATCCCTGAGTTCATTGGAGGAGTAACCTAACACCAGTGCTGGGGGCGGGTGAGGGGGAGTGACTGTCCCGAGTGGGGAGGTCACTTTAAGAAAGCACTATTAGAGGAGGACATTGTGGGGGTTTAGTATTAATTATGAGAATGTGATTGGGAGTCATTTCTAACTCACAAGTGTGAAGGCCTCCCTCCACCCAGAACCTTGGTCTCCCAGGCTTTTTAAATATGAGAATAAAGAATTTGTCCACATACCACTCTCTTCCCACTCACTTTTCCCACACCCCTCCGCATCCCAGGTTCCCTCTCCCTGTGGTCCTAGGTCAGCATCCCCTCCCTCCTCGGGCTGCCCCTTCCTTCCCAGACCCTTCATGGTGCCATCTCCCACAGTGGGCTCCTCAAGCTCCCTCAGCTCCGTTGGCTCCTGCTCTGGGCGCCACCTGCTGCCCGGGACTTGTAGCGAGGGCACCGCTGCTGAGCCCTCCTCCCTGGGACGCGGCTGCAGCTTTGCCGACCCCATCACTGCCAACCTAGAAGGGGTCGTGACCTTTGAGGCCCCTGACCTGCCGGAGGAGACTCTCATGGAGGTGAGCACTGGGGGGAGGGCCAGGCTGGGTACCATCCCCCTGGGGAGGGAGGCGTTGCTATCTGGGCAGTACTGACCTCCCCCCACCCCCACCCCACTTCAGCAAGAACACACGGAGATGCTGCACAGCCTGCGCTTCACGCTGACCTTCGTCCAACACGTGCTGGAGATTGCCGCCTTCAAGGGCAGTGCCGGCGAGGCCGGTGGCCCCGAGTCCCCACTGCAGGAGAGCCTGGTGGCCGACCAGATCAGCCTGCTGAGCCGAGAGTGGAGGTGCATGGGCAGGGGGCAGGTGGCAGCTACTGGGGGGTGAGGGGGTAGGACCGGGGGCGGGGAGCAGGTCACCCTGATAGAGCCCTTCCTTCAGCTTTGCGGAACAGCTGGTGCTATACCTTAAGGTGGCCGAGCTGCTCTCGGCAGGGCTGCAGACGGCCATTGAGCAGATCCGAGCTGGCAAGCTCTGCCTCTCGTCCACCGTGAAGCAGGGTGAGCCTAGGGCGAGCAGGGGAGTCCCCAGCGTGCGGGCACTGGTGGTGGCGGGTGTGTGGGTGCTGACCTCGGCCCTGAGCCGCAGACCAGGCACCTGACCTACCCCGGCTGGCCCACAGTCGTGCGGAAACTGAACGAGCTGTACAAGTTGAGCGTGGTGTCCTGCCAGAGCCTGAGCCTGCGGCTGCAGCGGTTCTTCCTGGACAAGCAGCGGCTCATGGACCGCGTGCACAGCATCACGGCCGAGAAGCTCATCCTCAGCCACGCTGTGCAGACGGTGCGTTCAGGGGAGGGCGCGGGTGCAGTTGGGCTAGGCGGAGCCAAGGCAGCCTCGTGTACCCCACCCTACCTTACCTTAACCTCACCTCACCTCATCTCACCTCACGCAGGTGCAGTCGGCGGCGCTGGATGAGATGTTTCACCACCGAGAGGACTGTGTGCAGCGATACCACAAGGCTCTGCTGCTCATGGAGGGGCTGCAGCAGATGCTCAGTGACCAGGCTGACGTGGAGAACATTGCCAAGTGTGAGCACTGGGGAGGGGGGGGGGCGTGGTATGGCCACGTGTGAGCACAGGCCCTCCCGATGGAGCGCTCCTCACTCACACTTCCCTTCCCTACAGGCAAGCTGTGCATTGAGCGGAGACTCTCTGCCCTGTTGACCGGCCTCTGTGCCTGACCCCGGCCCCGCACTGTGGGCGGGACACTGGCCTGCAGACTCCACTACAGGGGACCCGGTGGAGGGGCCTGAACACGTGTGCGGGGCTGCCTGCCCTGCTGGTCATCTCGGGCCTCGTTGTGGACTGCAGGACACCAGGGAAGGCCACTTGGACCTTCTGGCGATGGTGCTCAGTTGAGACTTGTGCAGCGAACGCTCAGAATCTCAGAGCTTCCCCCGCTGCCACAGTTGGCACGGGCGTGTCCTTCCACGCATCTGGACCGACCAGGACCCAGGGTGGGTCTGACTGTCCACAGACAGTCAAAGCCAAAGCTGCTGCCCTGGGCCCCTGGCCGACCTCCTGGCTCCATTCCTCTCTGGGACCCCATGCCCACCCACCAGCGTTGTAACCCACGAGCACTTTATGCAGTAGAGGCTGGGGTAGGACTGCCAGGGCCGGCTCCTATTCCTGGTGTTGCACTACAGGTGTGTACATAGTCATATACATACGTACATATATAAATAGTCCACGAGTGTGCCCCCGGGCCGTCAGGGGCCAGGTTCTCAGCCCCCCTCACACTTTAGTCTGAAGCACGTTTTGTTTCTCCTGTTACTTGTTTCTAGTTCTTTAACAAGAAAACCGATAGGTGTTGAGGGACATTTGGCAGAGGGAGGACAGGTGTAAGGGGCAGGAGAGGTGGAGGGCCCAGGGGAGGCTCCTGTCTCAACCACAGCAACTGTTGGTGGCCCACTCACCTCCATGTCCCGTTGACTGTGGTGTAAAAAGTGTGTATATTTCTGTATGTGTACATATATACACAGCTATTTTTTCTCAATACTTGAAACGTTGCCGCTGTGCTGGGAGGAGGAGCACCCAGCTGCCCACGGAGTGTTTACAGAGGACACCTGATGATCGTGTATTTCTAACAGCCAACCAGGCTGTCCATCCTGGTCCCTCCACAGATTGTGGTTTTTAAACCCGTTGGCTTTCAATTGTGTCATACCTGTAACCAGAATAAACCTTTGAAATTGTTGACGTGTTACTGGGTCTCCCTCTTGGGTGGTGGTGGTGTGTGGCCAGGAAGCCCACCCTCCTCACCTAGGGTGATCTGACCCAGCTCGGTGTTAAAGTGCCCAGCTGGCACTTCCGTTGGGGGTGGCTAATCTGGAGGCACGGATGGGCTCAGGAGTCAGCGCCCCGAACTTGGCCGCACCTCACTGGTTCAGCCCAGCGGCTGAGAAACAAGCCCCGCCCCCCACTTAGCCCCGCCTGCAGAGAGCTGGGCCACGCCCACAGCACAACCTGGCTGTCGCACGCTCCGTCCCGTCCCTGCCCCTCGCCAAGCCTCGGCAACGTGGAGGCGTGCTCAGCCTACCCAAGCCCCGGCTCTCGTCTGGAAGGCGGCCGGGTGGTCTAGGCCCCGCCCCCGGCCGCTGGGCCACGCCCCAACCCATGGCCGCGCCAGTCGGGCCTAGCTGTGGTCGGGAGACTGCCAGAGGTCAATCCCAGGCCACGCCCACAGACCGGACGGCCCCTCCCCAAGCCCCGCCTCCCTCCCGGGTCCTCTGCTGTCTGCGGTGAGACCGGTCCAACGCCGCGCCTTCGCCACCCGCGGAGTTTTGTCCCCACTCGGCCGCCATTGAGCACTTGCTCCGCTTCCGCCTTCGCCCACGTGGTCCGGTTCCGGTTCAGTCCGCGGCGCCGTGAGTGGGGCCGGGCGGGGCCACGTCCCTCTTGTTCCTACGGTGCTTTCGGGGTGTCGCGGCTTTCTCCAGAACCCAGACCCGGCCTGGCGGGGGGCTCAGGGGCGGAGGGGAGGAGGAGGGGCTTTGAGAGGTCAGAGGTCAGCCCTGAGGTCAGGGGCAGTCCTAGGCCAGCTGTGGGCTCGGCAGCCGCGGGGCCGCAGAGGGCAGGGCTTTGGCGAGGGTCTGAATTCTGCAGAGTCTGGGACGAAGGTCGCAGGAGAGGTCAGGCTCGGGCGCGCGCCGTGTCCCCGCGCACCCCGCCCGTGCATGGGGGTCCTCGGCCTGCCGGTGGTGGCCGCGGCCCTGCGGAGCGTCTGGGGAGCCCGGAGCCTGGGACCGCGCCGCCTCTGGTACCGATGCCCTCTCACGGAGCCCCTCGCGCGCGTGCACCCAACTCCGTTTCTCCCACAGCTGGGGGTAAACTTCTGTGGGTATGCACTTTCCCAGGCGGCCAGCCGCTGCCCACAGGAGCGGGACCTGAGGTCCACAGCCACCGCCCATGACCCCGAGCCCACTGTCCCTGCAGCTTGGCCCCCATGGCCCAGAATGAGAAGGCCCTCGTCGCCGTCGCGGGGGGCGTCAAGGAGGAGCCGGACAAGAAGTCCCGGAACCGGCAGGGCAGAATCAGGGTCTGGGAGGAAACGGACCAGAAGGTGAAGAAGCTCAAGACCAGTGAGGAGGCTGAGGGGCAGAGCAAGAAGCTGCCCAAAAGGAAGGTGGTGCTGCTGCTGGCTTACTCTGGCAAGGGTTACCATGGCATGCAGGTGAGCCTGGACCTGTGGCCCAGGGCCGTCCTGGGTGCAGCCAAGGACCACCACTACCACTGTGTTCCCTGGGGGCCCCCAGCCAGGCATTCCCCGCAGCCAGCCTCTTGTGTACCCCCTCAGAGCTCACCCCAGAGGTAAACAGGCAGCAGCAAGTTGATTCTGATACGCAGCCGCAACCCTATGGAACAGGACGTAAGTGCCTGTCTCCAAGGCTGTGAATCTCTCTGAATCTTCCTCCCTCGGGGTGGCCTGTGGGCTTGAACTGGTGACCTTTTTGTTTGCAGCTGATCACTAAACCGCTGCACCACAACTCTCTACGCTCTTCTTGGTGAAAAACTTACTGCTAAGGAGATAGTTCTGGCTCATAGTAACCCGATAGGGCAGGCAAGAGCTGCCCCTGTGGGTTTCTGAGACTTCAGGGGTAGAAAGCCTTGTCTTGCTCCAGAGGAGTGGCTGGCAGTTTCAAACTGCTGACCGTGCAGTGTAACCCACTGCCGCCAGGGCTCCCGGGCTCCTCTTCCTGAGTAGCACCATCAGAGGCAGCTGCGGAACCTGTCAGATGGTGCTTCTGCCTCGGCGCCCTCACGTGGGTCAGGAGAGAACTGCCCCAAGGGGTCTCGGTGGCTAATTCTTCAGCTGGATTGCCAGACCTTCTGAGGGTACTCTGGGCAACCTTGAACAGCCAGCCTTTTAGTGAGCCGCTGAGCTCGGCATCTTCCCCACCTTAGAGGCCTGAGCCGAGCCGCACAAGGTGTGCAAGCACCTGCAGAGGTGTCTGTGGTGGTTCTTTGTTGTGTGTGCGAGCCTTGGTCTTTTCCTTAAAGGTCTCGGTGCCCAGCCCCTGCAGGGCGACTTGGCTTTCCCTGTTTGTGGTCGGCTCTTGCTTCTTGTTGGCTGTGTCACAGCGGGGGTGGCTGCCCTCAGACCATCTGCCTGGGGACGTGGCATCTGGGGGTGCACTGTGGAAGCTGGGTCTGCCTCGGACAGTGGTCCCTGCCCCCTGCGTCCCCCGGTGGGAGCTCACCATGGGCAGTTGTGTTTGTTGTGGAAGCCTTGGGCAGGATGGGAAGAAATCAACCCTCCTTCTTCCAGAGGAACGTCGGGTCCTCGCAGTTCAGGACTATTGAAGACGACCTGGTGGCTGCCCTCGTCCGGTCGGGCTGCATCCCTGAGAGCCATGGGGAGGACATGAAGAAGATGTCTTTCCAGCGTTGTGCACGCACAGACAAGGTACCACTCGCCCCGGCCCGCCTCAGTCATCGCCCAGGACCCTGCTGGCGTGTGCGTGTGCCAGACAGACAGATTGTGTGGCCACCATGGCAAACCACCTTTGTGCTCTTAAACTTTCTTGGAGCCACGTTGGGGAGCCCTGGCGGTGCAGTGGCAAGGTCTGCGGTTCAAACCCACCACCCACTCCTCAGGAGCAAGGTGAGGCTCTCTGCTTATATGAGAGTCACACCCTCAGAAACCCATAGGTGTCATTCTAATCTGCACTGCAGGGCTGCTGTGAGCGCATCCATCCCCACGCAGCTTCTGGGGTGCCAGGAAGTCAGAGGAGAGCGTGTATACACTTCTTGTTCTCAGAGTGACAGACTGAATTGTGTGGTCGGGACTCTCAGCTTGAGTGCAGGGCCCTCTGTGATCCGAGAGAGGTGTGGGTCCCAGAGCAGGAGAGAGAGAGAGAGAGAGAGATACACCCCCCCACTCCAGGCCCATTCATGCTTGTTCACCCCAGCACCTCCTGATCCGTGCTCCAAGCTGCCACAGCCCTACTCCCTTCCGCTCCGTCTTTGGACTCTGCCATGAGGCCACATTCCCAAGTGGTGAGGGTCCGTCCTTTGGCAGTGGGCCAGGTGTTTCCTCCCTCCCGAGGTGGGTCAGCACAGGGCCCCGCATGCCTCAGCCCTGTGGGCGAGGGTGAGCCTCCCTCATCTCCTGTTCACAGGCTGCTCGGCACTCCTCCCGTCAGTCCACTCCCTGCACCATTTCTCGGAGCAGGAAGCCTGCCCCAAAATACTGAACACCTGGTTTGCTTGAGTTGTCCCCATGGTTTGGGGGAAAGTGGTGAACGGGACAGCTGGTTTTATAGGATGAGACATTTAGAACAGCTGAGTGCCGTCAGGCCCACCCGAATTTGGGGAGCCCCAACTGTGTTGGGGCTGTGGGGTGCCCCCCATGTGACGGCAGAGTTGTGCCCCATCGTGCTTTCCGTGCTGGTATCTCTGGAACATCCTGGGGACCCAACCCTCCCAACTGTAGGTGCGCAGCTGTGTGAGCCCCCTGTTTGCATGTCCCGGGGCTCTTGTGTGGGTATCCTGTTCAAAAAGGCCCCGGACACAGAGCGAGCACCCTGCATCCCCTCCTTCCTTACAGGGCGTGTCTGCTGCTGGCCAGGTTGTGTCCCTGAAGGTGTGGCTGATTGATGACATCCTGGAGAAGATCAACAGCCACCTCCCGTCTCACATTCGGATTTTGGGTAAGCCTAACTGCAGTGGCCGCAGACTCTGCCATCTCCGGGTGACGCTGGCTGTGCCCACCCGCCTCTCATGATGTCATTTCTAAGGGAAGGAAGCTGAGTTGGAGGGCGGGCATGGGTACAGGAGTTGACGAGACAACACGCAGCTGGGAGCTATGGTGGTGTGCCAGCCCGACCCTCAACCCCTCCCCACAGTGCATGCTGCTGAGATGGGGGTGACTGTGCACTTTCACTTTAAAGACGCTCTGGCCTTGTCACCTGTGGTCTCGTGTCTTGTCCAGCCTGGGGCCTCCTGCCTGTAACCAGTGGGCAGAGCCTGCTGGGAGGCCTGGAGGGCTCAGTGGTCACTACCCACTTCCCACACAGAGGCCACCTCATGCACAGCCACCCACCGCCATCTGCCAGGGGAGGCTGACCTGCTGCTGGGGTGCTAAACCAGGTGCCAGCAGAGCTTCTGGACTAAGATGAGGAGGAAAGGGCTGGTGATGACTCCAGAAAGACCAGTGGGTGGAAATACCAGTGCCTGCGGTACGTGGTCTCTGGCCACCCTGCGTCTTGAGGGCACCTCTGAGCACTTGTCTCCCTGGGGGCATTTCCTACACACCACCGCTTCTCCTTAGACAGGAGCCCTATTGAGGTGAAGCTCCTTAAGGACATGAGTTCTCAGGACACAGGTGGAGTCTCAGGTCCGGACTCTAGCTCACCGTGCAGGGACTTCCCACAGCACAAGGTGTTTCCAGGGTCCAGAGCCCCTCCCTCTTGCTCATCCCCAAGGCCCCAGAGGCATCAGCAGTCATGAACTGCCCCAGAGTTGGTCCCATGCAGGATTAGACCTTCCTGATCCATTGGATTTCCATCAGCTGATGGTGGGAAGGAGCTCACCAGGCCTTTCTTCCTAGTCTCTGTCCAGTATCTCTGCTGTTGCCCCCAGCGCCCCAGCAGCACGCCAGTGTCCTCTGACGGATGGGTGGCGGCTGCACTTGAAGTGCAGAGCCTGCGCCTCCCACCCCCGCCTCCCCAACCACAGCGAGGTGAATCAAGCCCACCTGCTGCCATCGAGTCGTTGCCACTCCAAGTGAGCCTGCCCAGGGTGTCCGCGACTGCAGGCGTTTCCGAGAGCAGGCAGCCAGCCCCTGGAGTGGCTGGTAGTTTGAACTACTGACCTCGCAATTAGCAGTCCAGTACTTATTTATTCCAGTGCCATCAAACCCTAACTCACAGCTGTCAAGTCAGGTCCCCGTGAGCTTCCGAGAAGTGTAACTTTACGGGAGTAGCAAGCCTCAACTCTCCCCCGAGGAGCAGCTAGTGGTTTTGAACTGCTGGCCCTGCGGTCAGCAGTCCCATATGTAACTACTAAGCCACCAGGGCTCCTGTACAGGGCCTTCTGGACTCTGGCAGCTGGTGATGTCGTGCCTGGAGCTGAGCCCCTGGCTGCTGTGGCCGCCTCCAACCTCACCTCTTCCAGTGATAACCCCACAGCACTTAATCACTCTAGTGCTGTTTCACTTACCCTGTCGGACCGTGTCCAGTTTCGCGGTGTTAAAAACAAGGCACCAGGCACTCCTTGAAAACGTCACCCCCCAGTGATGCATGTCAGGCCATGGGGGGACACTCTCACTGAGGCAAAATGTCCACAGCAGGTAAGCGTAGGGACAGGTGGGAGGGAGGCGTGCCAGGCTGAGCCTGCTGCCCCCCCCAGTCCATTCCGACTGTAGGCAAACAGCCGAACCAGGACAGAGCACAGCCACTCCATTTCCTCGGCCGCAGTCTTCACGGAGCCGCCGCCACGTCTTTCTAGTGCAGAGTGAACAGCCAACGGTGGGTCCAAACCACCAGCTTTCCCTGAACAGAGAGCGCTTTAACCAGCGTGCCAGCAGGCCCCCCAGAGGGTGTGCGCCCCGGCAGTGGTGCTGCCTGCACAGTATGGCGGGCTGGCCCTTCGAATGTTGTGTGACACTCCACTCCCCCACCGTAAAAGGCAAGCGCTCAGGGCTGCCCCTGGCAGTGCCATCCCACCCGCAGAGCAGCTCCGTGAAGGTGAGTTTGGGCCAGGCTGGCACTGTTACCACCTGTGCGGTCTCCGAGGGGCCAGCTGCCAGTGTGAGCACACCTCTACTGGCTTTCAGGTGACCGTCGTGCGCTGCATACATAAGCAGCATTGGTCAGTCTAATGTTCATGTGTGCAGTGCAGGGACACCTGTTATGCTGATCAGTAGGACGATCGACCCACATTATCCATCGAACAATTGTCCCGCCCCGTGAAGAGACCCTGAATGCTGCCCAAACTGCCCTCCCTTTCTTCCTTCCCGCTTCTGGTCAACCAGAATTCACGGCCATCGGTGGATCCTGACTCTTAGCGACCTTGGGTCCCTGAGGCTGTCGTCTTTACCGGGGCTGCTAGCCACAAGTTCAAAGTCAGCAGCAGCTTCATGGGAGAAAGAGGAGGCTGTCTTGGAAACCGGTAGGGGCAGTTCTGCTCTGTCCAGTCAGGTCGCTCGCTGTGAGTCCGAATTGACTTGACGGCAGGTAGTTGTTTCCTTGCGCCATCGTCTCCGAAGCAGCCAGCCTCATCTTTTCCTCACGGGTGCAAGCCACACGCCCTTCAGCATGCCATCGAGTGCTTACCCACTGCACAGTCAGGGTTCCTGTTTGCCCCAGCAACCGCCAGCCGGTCTCCGGGTAGCTTCTCTGGGTAAGCTGCCTGCTTTGGGTACTTGAAGTTCAAGTGAGGTCGGCCCGTTCTGTCCCTTTGTGATTGACAGGCTTCCCTGGCAATGGAGTTTTCAAGCACACCTTCACCTCCCCATTTAAATTTGAGTTCCATTGTGACAGCCAGCCCCCTGTGGGTTCAGAGTCTCGACACGCAGGTGTGTCTGACCTGTGCCACCCTCGGTCTCCTCCGCCCATCCCCCAGGCCTGAAGCGCGTCACGGGCGGCTTTAACTCCAAGAACAGGTGTGACGCCAGGACCTACTGCTACATGCTGCCCACCTTTGCCTTTGCCCACAAGGACCGGGATGCGCAGGACGAGAGCTTCCGGCTGAGTGCCGAAACACTGCAGCAGGTCAACAGGCTGCTGGCCTGCTTCCAGGGTACACACAACTTCCACAACTTCACATCACAGAAGGGGCCCCAGGAGCCCAGCGCGAGGCGCTATGTCCTGGAGATGCGCTGTGGGGAGCCCTTCCTGCGGGACGGCCTGGAGTTCGCCGTGATCACTGTCAAGGGCCAGAGCTTCATGATGCACCAGATCCGCAAGATGGTGGGGCTGGTAGTGGCCATTGTGAGGGGCCACGCCCCCGAGAGCTTGCTGGCCTGCAGCTGGGGCCTCACCAAGGTGGACGTGCCCAAAGCGCCGGGCCTCGGGCTGGTGCTGGAGCGGGTGCACTTTGACAAGTACAACCAGCGCTTCGGCGGCGACGGGCTGCACGAGCCACTGGACTGGGCGGCGGAGGAGGGCGCCATCGCTGCCTTCAAGGAGCGGCACATCTTCCCCAGCATCGTGGAGGCAGAGCGGCATGAGCACTCCATGGCGCGGTGGCTCAGCACACTGCCCGTGCACGACTTCCACGCCTCTGCCGTCGCCGCAGCCAGCCCTGCCTCCAAGGTAGGGCCCTGGGGATGGCCGGGGAGGGCTTCCCATGTGGGTAGTGCTCCTGCTCCACAGTGGGGAGCACCAAGGCACTGGTGGCGCCTGCACCCCTGGAAAACGCAGCCTCGGGGCCTGCAGGGCCTTGCCCCAAGAGGGGCCCAGAATTCCTAACTTTTTTGGTGGTCCAGCATGGTTTCAGAGGGAAGCTTCTTAAAAGTTACAGGGAGCCTGGGACATGTCTTCTCCACATCCTGGGCTGCACACTCACGTCCACAGGACTGAGCAGGACAGGGAAGTCGGCGAGATGGGCAGGGCACAGAGCGAGCCATCGGGTGCTGCAGGAAGTCAGTGGGGACTGAGGGCACCCAGGGCCAACAAGCACACGTTGTCTCCCGCTGAAGGCCCGAGGTGGCTCAACTCCTCCCCCAGTGGCCACACACAGCTGACGCCTGCTGTGCTCCAAGCCTCAACTCTTGAGAGAAGCCAGTGTCACGGAGTTTCTGTGAACACTGGCAGTTAGCGGTTTTGCAGGCTTAGCGTCGTAGGAGTGCCTGCCTGCCCTCTGCTGAGTCCCCGAGGACATGAGCCTGGGGCCTTCACCCCTGCCAGTGTCCTCACAGCCGGATTCTGCTTCCTTCTGAGGTTCCCCACCCCCAGGTCAAGCCCTGAACAAGTTAGCATCTGGCTAGGGATTAGATGGGCACACACACTTGCCTTTCTTTCAGACTATACCAGCTCTGGGGCTGCCATACCACTTGACTACAAGTCACAGCCAGAATATACATTGTCAGCTCTGGGCTGCATGCCCACTGGAGGCTCCTGGGGAAGACCTCCCTCCTCCCCCCCACCAGCTGGTGTCCCTCCAGAGTTCTTTAGCTTCTGCTGAAACAGTGCCATCTCTACCTTTCCGTGTCCTCACCTGTCATTTCCTGGGTCTCTTGCTGTCTTCTCTCCACGTGGTGTTTCATCATATCTGCCTCTGGTCCCTCGCGTGGCATGTCCCTGTATCTCTCTGCCTCTCCTCACGTGGCATGTCCCTGTGTCTCTCTGCCTCTCCTCACGTGGCATGTCCCTGTGTCTCTCTGCCTCTCCTC